CCTCGCTCTCTCTCTGAGGCTCCAACTGGCACGCAGCAGATTGAAAACAGCATGCATCACAGGGCTCACGCTGCACAATTTTACAGCCTTTTGGAGCCCCCTTTCTCTCCTTTTGGCCCACTTATTTTTTTGTGGTTTGCTGCTTTTTTTTTTCTCCAATTCGCAAATAAGTTTTGTTTGTGCCCTACGGAACTGGAAGCCAAAGGCACTGGCACACCTACAAATATGAGAAAGCAATAAGACACAAGGGACAACGGAGCTGATCTTGACAGCTGCCAGTAAGATGGTTATGCTTGATGTTACTGGTAGATATGGCAGGGCTTTTAATTCTACAATTGCCACAAAACAGAAACTGTCCCCCCTTAGATCTCATCACACATTCTGCTTGTGTGCAAGAGGTCCAAAAACAACATCAGGATTTTAAGTGTAGTGCATCTTGCAAGCTGCTAGCCACACACACAAAAAAATCCCTTGTAAAATGCACAAAAATCTCTTGTGAACCAGAGACACAACTTTTTAGAAAAAAAAACAACCCGAAGTATGATCGAGTACTGCATACTTTTGTGATGCCTTGCTCTATAGCATATAGAGAAGAAGAGGCCAAGCCAAAAATAAACTTTGGGAAATCAGAAAGTCTACACTGAGAAGAGAAGAAAGAAAGTGTAGACTCAGAGTTTGATTCATTAATGCAACAGCTACTGGTTCCACACCATCTATTTTATGCTTTGAACATGTATCTCACTGAGCTGACAATGGTATTATTTATTTGTCTGGTTATTTGTAATCTGCGCTGTTTCACTGCTAGGGTAAAAACAAGATACTACTGTCAATTCAAGGAATCTTTTCTGACATGAAAAAGGACATGGACAGCAAGCTGAAGGACACTAACAAAAAGAAAGGACATATTTTATCAAGCTCTGGCTGCCACCTAAATGGGACAGCTTTTTCCCCGCATTCCTTCACTAAATTTGTCCTAGTGGTTTTCCCATTCAATACTGAGCTGTTACTTTTGCCCAGCTGTGGGGTACACAGAGCTCATCTTCTTCCACTGGACAGAATCTGTCTCTTTTTTTCTATGTATAACCAGTCCCACACCAGCAGCATTATACAGATCTGACTACAAGGTGCTAGCTTGACCTCCCACCTGAGTAGGGACCTAATTACACAGCTATGACCAAGATTACTCATCAGAGCCCGTCGCCTGATGGACAGATTCCAGCCCCATTCAACGACACAACAGACATTGCTTTGGAGACTTGTTCCTCCACAAACCCCTACTGAACCCCAGGACAGGATGTGGCCCCAGATGAGTGCCCCACGACTTTCCATCTCTTTGACATACTGCTAACATGACTCTGGTTTAGCAAACAACATTTGTGTGCTGGAACAGGAGCTGGTCACCTCAGGAGGAAACAACAGAGTGATAGCTAGGACATGGCAAGGGAACCCACAGGATGGACCTCAGCTGAGGTGGTGTTTGCTACTGACATTGAGTATGAATGGTTGGTTGGTATCACTGTGCTGGGCTCCTCCCGCCGGAAAAAAGTCACTACAAACACCCTCCTACTTCAGGAAGCCAACCTGACAACAAAGCTCTCTGCAACTGAGAGGCACACGGATACACCTCCAAAAAAACCCCAGACACATGCAAGTACCCACGCCATCAGAAACACAATGCTGCAGGGGCTGGTACAGTACCTTGCTTTTGGGTGGAGGGCTGTTTGTGCTCTTGTCTGTATGGATGCTGGTAGGGGACACAGCAGCACCAAGGTTCCCCTGGGGTATGCCAGGTATCTTGCCTCCCGGAGACACCTGCATCGCAGCAAGCTGGGCAGCATACAACTGCTGGTAAAACAAATAAAAAATGGGGAGGGAGGGGAAGAGAAATGAGAGACATCATCAGTAAGTCATTTTCACAAAACTTCTCTTACTGCAGATGATATATTTTCCTTTTGATGGGTATTTTTTACTCAGCATACTCGTGTATTTCGAGACAAGAATTGTCATCTCAACTTTTGTGACCCGTTCCTCAGGGGACGAATGACTGACCTCGCCATGAGAAATGTCCCAGCTTCCTTGTGTGTCCAGGGATTCAAAACAGGGGAAAAAGCTAATCTTTATGGTTTGCCTGAGACACTGGGCAATCTCTCCTTTCCTGAGATGACTTAGGCACCACAGCATCTCCACTGAAAACATGAGTCAACCCCTGTGAAATTCACATTTTCTTTGATGCAATAGTCTCTGTGCTACCATTTATACATTTCTTTATCTTATTTGCTATGTTTGCCTTGTTTGCACAGGCTGTAAGGTTTTGGGGACAGCAAATGTCAAAATTTTGTTGAGCACCTACTGTGAGAGCCCACTCAGCTGGGTTCTGAGGAAGCACTACAGTCACTCTAAGTATATACCTATTGAGGGTTGTCCATTAACTACTAGAAGCTCCAACTAAGACTAAGAACCCTTTCTGTGATAAATGCAAAGCAGATACACAGTGGGAATATTTTCTCTTCAAAACTGTACCAGTAAGGCACTTTAAATGCATATTTGATTATTATCATGGGTATACTTATAATCACAGTCATCTGTTCAAAGTTAAGCACTACAGTAAGAGTTTAATGGACAGAGGTCAAAAGCAGAGAGAAAACAGGAAACTGGAAGCTCTCCTGACCTCAAAATAAAAAGTGGAACATGAACATGGTGGGCAGGAGAAGCAGCAGTTGCTGCTGCTTTGTGAGTAGAGAGGAGCTCAGGTGAAGCCAAATATAAGCCCCATGCCTGAGAGAAGAGGTAATGCAGTAACAAAGGCTTCCCTTCCTCAGCCCCTCAGTCTCAGAGGCTCCTGCTAGGTTTAGTTGTGCTGTGCAGTACAGGTGTAGTGTGCAGCACTGAACGACGGTGCTCTCTGCCTGCAGGTGCTAACAGAGCCTCTGAGATGCAAGGTGACAAGTGATAACATGCAGGAGCGTGGAAGTGGATGTGAAAAAAACAAGAGGACTTCAATATAACTGGTCTAAGAAGTCTTGTTTAGTAGTGCTTAGTTGTTTTGCTGATGTTTTTCAGGTAATTGTATACGCTGATAAAAGAACAAAGGTCAGATTGGAGGGCACAAAGCAATGCTAACCTCAACCAGCAAGTCTGAAAGAGGAAAATGAGGATTCATTACAGAAGTATTCCACATGGAGCTGTGCAAAAGGTAGAGAGATGCTGCTAATATGAGTTGAGGGTACAGAAGCCCTGTAGCAAATGCTTAACTTGATCAAATGGGCAAGATTTACTGCTCTGAGTCTTAGAAAACCCTGGACATTGTCCTGTGGTTCCCTGTACAAATTCTTGCCTTCACTGGTGCACAATCCTGGACCTTTCACAGTGTTAAGAGTAACCCATTTCTACTCTGTTAGATGTAGTTGTGCACCAAGTTCTTACTGATTTATTTTTCATTCTTTCCACTATTTAACACCTTTCTATTATTTTCAGTTTTTTTATCTTTTTTATTTTTTTTCACTACTTTGATCAGTGTTTCTTATTTTTCTGTACATCTTCATCACCATTTATCCATCCCTTTCTGTTTAGTCTCCTTCTCTATCATCTGTTCATTCATCTGTTCTCTCCTTGCCTCTTTCTCAAATTTATTTATTCATTTATTCTATACATTACCCCCAGTGAGTCTGAGGCAAACAGATGCAAATCAAGTACAGATAAAAGTCATCAAAATCAATCCAGCCACAAATCAGTCACAGATTCAAATGCATTTATTTATCTGTTGAAGTTCATACCCATTCATTCTTTCAAAGGAAGACTAAATCCATCAGGGAGAAAAGGAACAAGGGTCTGTGTGAACCAGAGAAGAACTGTAGCAGGCAGGTTGAGGAAAACCAAGCCAGTTTTATGTTTGAATTAATATATGAGAAGGGCAACAACTGTTTTAAGAACTAGGATACATGACTCAAACATAAATGGACTCTGGTGGTGAGAGAGTGGATCTAGGGACAGTTTCTCCTTTTCTTTTGGTCTCTATTGAAAAAAATTACAAAACAATTGAGGCAATTATGACAAAAAGACAAAAGAAAGTCAAACAGCCACTGAGCAGGAAAGGTTCAAGCTTGCTGTTGATTTATATGTTAGACATCAGAGAACATGTCTAGTCCACAGATAAAAGTAACAATAACACTCAGTCTGGACACTTAACAGTCCTTGGAGACTAAGGACTTAATTGGAGATCACTGACAGGCCACACAGGGACTGGCCTGTTGAGGACTGAGTTTTCTCAGAAAGTTTCTGTGAGCCTTTTGGGAAGACCTTTCAAACAGAAACCTTACCCTGAAAGGAGAGTGAAATCTCAACCTCAAACACAGCTTTCATCCTTCTATTGAGGTCCAAAGAGTGAACCACAAGAACTAAACTACACACAACACATGCACAACGTGGCACCCAAGAACCTTCACCACGCTAGACCTGTTGGGTGGTCACCGAGACGTGTTGGAAGCTGTGGTTCCTCCTTACAGCACTGTCATCAAACACCTTTTTGACAACGGATGCAAAGCAGACGATGACTAAATAAGCATGAGGAATGAATTTCCCTATACAATAGCCCAGGAGAAAGCCATATTTTTAGGTGACAAATGGGATATACGGAATATCAAGTGCATCATTCTCATTTCAGGGACAGATATACCACAAAAGGGTGAAGTACACAGTACAGCGTGAAATAATCTGGAAGGAGGGGTGGAATAAAATCCATAAAGCCTTCATTCGTGCTTTGTACAAACTTCTGTACTGTTATCAGATTCAACTTCACACCTCTATTTAACTCATTTTGATAATTAAAAGCAAATATTAAATAAAATCTTATAAGAGGTACCTTGTTTGAGTACCCTCTTAAGAAGTCCCTTCCTGCAACAGAAACCAACAATTCTACGGTAAAGCAACATCAGGCCCAGCTCTAAAGTGAAAAACATGGAATTTAGGAAATTGCAAGGGTCTCAATCCTGTTAGAATAGGAAGATTGCTCCTATATTCCCCTCTCATTTCAAAAAATGGATAGAAATATACAACACGCAGCACATTTCTTACACTGTCGATATTTCTGAGCTTTGGCATTATTGAACTTGGCTGTTCACATTTAGCTCTTTTAGGACATGATGACCTTTAGCTTACACACAAGGAAAAGGCAATGGTGTGACCAAGTGCTGTGAATAAAGATGGCTAAGTGACAACAATTTATGCATTCATTTCAGAGACAAACTAAACTGCCAACAAAAGAACATTTCTACCTCTGCTTCTCCAATAGAGTTTTAGATTTTGGAACCGTGTATGAATTGGTCTCTGTTGACACATTCAATCGTCACCTACAACACACCCTTATACTTCTCACAGCAATGAAACCAGGACCTCAGAAGCGGCAAAGAAAATTACATTATCACTGCTTTAATAATAATAAATTATTATTATAAAGAATAAATAATTCTTGAGCCTCTTGCATTGTACCTCAGAGACTCCTGAAGCCACTTATGCTACCTTCAGCTAACCTAAAGGCTTAAACTCAAATTCTAGCACTCAGAGAGAGCATTTTGCTCCACTACATTTCACACAGGACTTTCAATCTACAGTCTCGACAGGTTTATTGTGACCGAGGCATTCAGCTGAAATCATGGAAGCACTACTACTTTAGGTAAGTTTGTTTTTTTTTTTTCCTATAGATAATAAATAAAATAAGGAAAATATTCTGAATTTAATAAGATAGACAATACTTCTCCAAGAAGGCATAATTGGGCCTCTGAAGAAGCAATTAAAAAGTCACATCTATTGTTTGTTTTTAACTAAACCACTGTGTTTCAGCTCCCCTTCCCCTGTGCAATATTGCATGCCTTGTTAATGTCTTCTCATTAACCTCTTACAAAAATCTGGATGGAAGCAAAATCATCAGAACAAAAGCACAATGTCATATACTTTAAAATGAGCAGGAGATACAGTTATTTTTTTAACATTGCCCTTCTGTTCTGAAGCTATTAAACAAAAAATCCCCCTTCTCCCTAGGTCACCACCTAAACCATTTATAATTCTTCCAATATATTAAGCAGAAATATTCAGCTGCACTCTCCAAATGGACTAGCTCTAACAGCTCTTGGCTTGATGACTCTGTAGTACATCAACAGCAAAGCCTTAAGGTTAGAATGGCTTTGAAAACTTTACCCTTGGGCATTGCTGTTACATGTTAACAATGCTCATTACTGCTTTGAGGGTACACTAAAAATGAATTCTTGTTCTATTAATACAGAAAATGAGAATGAGATTTAATAGCAATTTTAAAAAGGGTTGAACAAAGTGTTACCAATTACACAGGCAGAGATAGTTGATTCAAGCACCTATAGGCATTTGGATTACAGTATGATCTCTTCTTAAAATATTTTTATTAGTGAACAGTAGAGCTTAAGAGACATTATTTAAAAAAACAGAGAGATAGAGACAGGTGATACTGGAAACCAAACCAGTAACTGCAATAAATTAATTTCTTATATAAACTAGTTTTTCAGTGAAGTTACCAGAGCGATGGATTTACAAACCACTATGCTTAAATGTTTGAACTGTTGACTGATCCAACACTTCAATTTCTTTGTCATTTTGAGACCCATCATTAAAAATATACACATGAATGGCCCTGTTTTTTGATTTTTGCATAATCTGGGGAAAAAAAATTGGATAAATTGAGAATATCTCATTCAGAATACATGAATTTCATTTTCTTTACCTCAAATCTTATGCTTACATAGGGCATGCAAAGTATTTGATTATGGCAGAAAGAATTAATTTTCAATCTGTTCAGTTTTTTTTTTTAAAAAAAAAGGACA